GTAAAATTAAATGAAAAATCTTTCTTTCACTGCTTAAAGCACTGAGAGATTTATATTGAGGAATAAGACCTTGTTTTCTTTTGCTCCAATTTATATCTAAAGGGTCTGAGAATCACACCCTTCAAACTATAAAATCTCATCAGATGGGTTTTATTAACTCATAATGTGGCTTACTTTCTAACCTGATTCTGGTACAACATCACAGATAGCAGAAGCTGAAGGAAATAAAAATATTTAACCCCTAAATATATTTTTTGACATGTTTTGAAATGGCTGCTGCTGAGTCAAGAGATTTGAAATGGCCGTACAAAGCTGTCTTCTGTGGGGGAAATTGCATCTGTAAGAAGTCTTCATTAATGTAGCCCAAACTCTCCCCTTTTAGATCTTCCCAGATTTAGGGAAGATTACGAGCCTGATGCATTCAAAATCTGAAAAGATATATTTGCCCTCTGTTTTCTCTGAGGGCTGCTAGCTATGAGGCTTCATCTACATAATAAGAACCTTGGCCTCCATAACCACCTTATCTTAATTAAGGCCTCCCTTTCTACCTATTTCCAGTTTTAGAGAACAGATTTTCTTTACCAATTGTCACCTAAAGAATCCCCAAAACCCACATAAGACTTGTTAGCCCCTCCTTTTTGATGTCCCGCTTTCAGGCTGAACCAATGTCTGCCTTCCTCATATTGATGTACAGTTTTCCCTACAACTTCTGTCTGCTGGAAATGTACAAAACCAAACTGTAATGTGACTGTCTCATGAAACATTCTCAGGATCTCTTGAGACTATGTAACCCAGGGCCACAGTCACCATATTGGCTCAGAATAAACCTTAAACATATTTTGGCAGAATTTGGGTTTTTCCATCATGAATATTTCCCAAAATTACATAATTTTTAATTCCAAAACTGATTTAAAATTACCTTATGTTGGAATATAAGTTATTCTATTATAAAGATACATGCATTTGTATGTTCTTTGCAGCACTATTCACAACCGCAAAGACATGGAATCAACCCAGATGTCCATCAATGACAGACAGGATAAAGAAAATGTGGTATATATACATCTTGGAATACCATGGAGCCATAAAAACGAATGAGATCTTGTTCTTTGCAGGGACATGGATGAACTTGAAGTTGTTATCCTCAGCAAGCTAACGCAAGAACAAAAAAACAAACACTGCATCTTCTCACTTACAAGTGGAAGCTGAATGATGAGAACACATGGACTTGGGGAGGGGAACAACAAACACTGGGGCCTGTTGGGGTTGGAAGGGAGAGCATCAAGATTAATAGCAAAAGCATGCAGGGCTTAATATCTAGGTACCTTTACCTTAAGATAAAAAAAAATTTTTTTAAGAAAATTACCTGATGTTTTAGCTTCTTAACCAGAATATCCATTTTCAGTTGAGCTGTTTTTAAGTCTTCATGGAAACTGAAGTCTTCATTTACAAACACATTAAACATATTTATTGTCATTTCTAGGCACTTCTTATATCTGCAGAAATGTACAGAATTAGTAAGTCAAGTATTTTTAAGAGTAAATATTGAATGTTTAAACAGATATTATGTTACAGCATATCAATGAAACAAATCTATAAACTATGAGCCTCTCAGTTTCAGCTGAACACAGTTTGAAAGCATTCTATATGAAATTATAATCTTAGATAAATAATATGAAGAACAATTTTATGGCATATATGGCAGGTAAAGTGATATTATAACCATACAGTTTTTTTGGGTTTTTTTGTTTTTCTTTTTTTGAGATTGAATTTCACTCTTATTGCCCAGGCTGAAGTGCAATGGTGTGATCTCGGCTCACTGCAGCCTCTGTCTCCTGGGTTCAAATGATTATCCTGCCTCAGCTTCCCAAGTAGCTGGGATTACAGGCATGTACCAGCACACCTGGCTAATTTTGTAGTTTTAGTAGAGATGGATTTTCACCATGTTACTCAGGCTGGTCTCAAACTCCTGATCTCAAATGATCTACCCATCTTGGCCTCCCAAAGTGCAGGGATTTCAGGCATGAGTCACGACGCCTGGCCTAACCATACAGTTTTTTATAAATAAACTATTCATATCCATTTTGGTATGCTAAGATAAAATAATCTATTACTAAATATAAGCCATAATTCAGAGATGAGTGACCAAGATAAAAAAGTAAAACACATATATGTTTGAAAAAGACACAAAAATACATTTTGATACCCATTGACCACGGTCTATAAGAAGAAAAAAAAAGTACACCCAAAAAGCATCAAGGAGATCATTCAATGCAGAAAAAGAGAAGAAAAACATCTTTAATATCTGATTTGAGGAGAAAAAGGAAACAGGTAGTTTTAGAAAAAAGGAACGGGGCAGGGTTAAAGACTTTGACGAAGAGATCTAGAGATCTTTCCTGACAAAATGTCAACAAAATGAAAGATATGCAGAACCATGTAGAGAAAGACAACGACAGAAAAATGTTGATTAGAATCAGAAAACCAACTTAAGTGCTCAGTAAATAAATAGAAAAGTATCTGTGTTCAGGGCTTCAAAGACACATTCCATTAAAAAAAAAATCTGTGATCAAAACATGAATGCTCATTTTACTCTTACTTGTAAGTTATACATATATTTATATATATATAATTTATTTGTGTAAAACAAGTTTAATAACATGTATACTTCATGTATACAACAGAGAGACCCATGTAAAATGAGTAAATTTCCATGATATGTTTTATATCTGAAAGAGAAAGAAGCAGAAACAAAATATAAGCTACATATCAAGATAAATTTTGATGTTAAAGAATGACACAAATAGGTCTTTAAAGAATTTGAATGCAGCAGAGGATACTACAAAGGGAAGAAAAAATGACCACAGACAGCAAAAATATCTTCAGAAATGAAAATTCAAACTAGATAATGAAGAGTGCAGTTTTGACATTATATGTCCAAGGCTTTGTCATTATTGTTTTCAAAATCATTAAAGAATAAGTGGCCGGGTGTGGTGGCTCATGCCAACTTTGCGAGGCCAAGATGGGTGGCTCACAAGGTCAGGAGTTCGAGACCAGCCTGAACAACATGGTGAAACTCTCTCTATTAAAAATACAAAAATTAGCCAGGTGTGGTGGTGCATACCTGTAATCCCAGCTACTCAGGAGGCTGAGGTCAGAGAATCGCTTGAACCCAGGAGATGGAGGTTGCAGTGAGCAGAGAATGCAGTATTTGCACTCCAGCCTGGATGACAGAGTCAGACTCTGTCTCAAAAAAAAAAAAAAAAAAGTGTGTAGTATTTTCGCATTCAAAAAAATTTCAGATTGTGTTTTTTTCATATATTTTTAATACAATTTTTTTCATCCCAACCTTGCCCCAGCAGCTCAGCTGACTCCTGCCCCCATGACTCACATGCCTATAATGTTGTGTTGTGTGTTTCTGAAATACATTTTAAAATAGATTTCGTTTAATTATGAAAATACAGACATAACATGAATTTGTATCTAGGTTTTAGTCAAGTAAAATTAGAGTTAAATCAATTAATAAATGATTAAAATGTTCTATAATATGAAAACCATACCCAGTTGCCTCTTCTCCTAATTCATGATTTTTCTTCCTTATTTGATCCACATTATACTCCAGTGATGATATTAACTCAAAAAATTTTCTTAATTCTTCATTTTCTTCTTCAGGCTTGAAAAAGAAAGTGTTTAAAATTATTTTTGTAAAATCTAGAGACCCTCTTCTATCTTAAAAATGTTATTTCTCGTAAGTTGATGAGTAATATGTATTTAGGCAGGTGTATAAAGTACATTTTGTAAACCTGATGCCAATAAGGACAGATTTCAAAAATAGCCACTTTTTGTAAAACAGCTAAAAATGATTCATACTTTCATCATCTTTCCTGAAATTTAAACTGCTAAAAATGTTTGTTAAAATGAGGGTGTTTACACATAAGATACTAAGGATTAGTAAAAACTTTAAGGGTAGTTATATTTACATTTGAGTTTTTAAAGATGCTTTAGAAACATTGTCATTAATATTTAAGATATTCCAAGTTTTGTTAAATTACATCTTACTAAGATGATTTTTAGAAAACTCTTCTTATCTAGTTCCCATTATATTTTTTATCCTCGTCTGTCTTCAGGCTGATATAAATATTCTCATTCTCTGTTAGTATTCACCCACAGGTTTCAGTTTTTCCCTTTCTCTTAATCATTTCTTTTTAAAGTTTTTCTTCTATAATAAAAACATAACTTTTGTCTACTTTTTGTAGATTTTCTATTATCCTGTTTCTTTCCTTCCATTGGACTCTGTGACACATGGTCTCATCCAGAGATCTATTTTTCATCACTTACTGTTTTTTATACCAAAATCTGATTTTTAAATAATTCCAATAAAAAAGTCCAAGGGTCACGAAGGACTTTATCCTGCTTTACTCAGTAGCAACTGCGAGTAGTGACTAAATGATCCCTCTGCTCCTCTGACCCCACTTTATTTCTAAACACAGCAACCTCTGATGTTCAGTCCTATCCCTTTCTATTCCTGTTTTTTTGTTTTGTTTTGTTTTTTCGAGACGGAGTCTCGCACTGTCATCCAGACTGGAGTGCAGTGGTGTGATCTCCGCTCACTGCAACCTCTGCCTCCGGGGTTCAAGTGATTCTCCTGCCTCAGCCTCCTAAGTAGCTGGGATTACAGGTGCCCGTCACGACACTTGGCTAATTTTTTGTATTTTTAGTAGAGACACGTATCACTATGTTGGCCAGGCTGGTCTTGAACTCCTGACCTCGTGACCTGCCCACCTCGGCCTCCCAGAGTGCTGCAATTACAGGTGTGAGCAACCACACCCAGCTGCTATTCCTCTTTTAAATTCTCTTAGGACTCCTAGAATCTCAAAATCTTTGACCCAGATTCCCTAATCTACATTTCCAGCTCTGAACTGCTTCTTGAGGCCTCTTCTTTCTAGTACACATATTATAGACAATATTCTCAACCACACACTCTTACGTTGCTACTTGGTGCAGATTACCTTTGTAGTGAATCATGTCTATTTTATGTTGATTGTTATTGATGTTACTTTGCATATAGTATTATTTTCTAATTATTTTCTAATCTCGAAGGGGGCTTGTCTTGCCCTTAGGATATTGACCAGTATATTTTGTCCTTTTTTTTTTTTTTCTTTTTTTTGAGATGGAGTCACACGCTGTTATCTAGGCTGTAGTGCAGTGGCACCATCTTAGCTTATTGCAACTTCCACCTCCTGGGTTCAAGTAATTCTCCTGCCTCAGCCTCCCAAGTAGCTGGGACTATAGGTGCACACCATCATTCCTGGTTAATTTTTATATTTTTAGTAGAGACAAGGTTTCACCATATTGGCCAGGCAGTTCTTGAACTCCTGACCTCAGGTAATCCACCTACCTTGCCCTCCCAAAGTGCTGGGATTATAGGCGTGAGCCACTGCACCTGGCCCTTTTTTTTCTTTTATAATGAAAACTTTCCCATGAGAATCAGGTGATCAATTGTTTGCCTTTGTTTCCTTGTGAAGAATTTCCTTTCCATAGAGATACGGCATGATGAACATCTTGTTCTAAAGTTTCTTCCGGGGGACACTCAATGATATCATTGGGAAGCTCCAGTCAAGTAGAGGTCTCCCTTCTTCCCAATCGAGATTCTTCATCTCAAAGTGATGCCCACCAAACATCTTAATCCAGGTAGTCTCTTGCTTAGAAGTTAATGAAATAAGAACTTTCTAGAGAAGTTAGAGGCTACTGATTGAGATGGTTTAAAGCTGTCCCTTATTAAATGTTTTACTCCCAAGGCAGACATCAAAATGGCTAATAATTCCATGCCTGATGTCTGACTCACCTCTATGGGAATCTATACAAAACGTTTTATTTATGAGACAGAGTCTCGCCCTGTTACCCAGGCTGGAGTGCAGTGGCTTAACCACTGCTCACTGCAGCCTTGATATCCCGAGCTCAAGCGACTCTCCTACCACAGCTTCCCAATGTAGCTAGGACTATAGGCATGCACCCTCAGATAACTGTTAATTTTTTTTTTTTGGGTAGAAGCAGGGTCTCACTTATATTGTGCTGGCTGGTCTCAAATTCCTGGGCTCAAGCACTGTTCCTGCCTCAGCCTCCCAAAGTGCTAGAATTACTGGCATGAGCCATCTCACCCAACCAGGTGTTTCATGGAATGGTTTGAGAGGCAGTATCTACACAGAAGCCAGAAGGTCTGTGTCTGAATCCCAGCTCTACCAGATACTAGCTGTGTGACCTTGAGCAAATTAATTTTCTGTGTCTCTGGTTCTTTATCTATGAAATGGAGAGAATAATACCATCTACTTCACTGGGATATTGGGAAGATTAAACCAGGGACTGCACAAGAAGCACTTAGAAAAGTACATGGTGCATAGAGAGCTACAGATAAGATTTGCTTAGAAGCACTTAGAAGAGTACATGGTGCATGGTGAGCTACAGATAAGATTTGCTTAGAAGCACTTAGAAGAGTACATGGTACACAGTGAGCTACAGATAATATTTGCTATTAGCATGATAATTTTTACTGTTTTTTATATCTTGACAACTGTGTTAGGGAGGTGGCATTCCAATGGAAGTGGTCTATAGCTCACACTACTGAAAATGGCAGCAAATGGGGAGGGGGAGCGTACAATTTGTAGCTTACTTTTCTCTCTGTATGACTCAGTGGGCAACAGTCAGGTATGTACTACAATGTAAACAGCACCTCCTGGATTGAGTAGTACATAACCGACATGACTAGCAGAGACAGGCTGAGCCATGGAGCTGAAAACCCTGGACTCTACTGCTAAATCAAGGCTTCTGAATCAATTCCCTCCCAGCAGCTGTTGCTGTGGCACTGCTTTCACGAGCACTCTGCTGAGTGCTCAGATTAAGGGGCTGTACTGTCATTCGTAAGACAAGCTGCAGCCAGAACTGTTCAGCTGACAAACTGGCAGCCATCCAGAAATACAGTTCTGGCTATATAGTGAAGGAAGGCAAATTTAGATTCTTTTTTCATACTGAGAAAAACATGAGCATTTGATTGAACAGTTCTCCTCTATTAGACTAATTATTTTTAATTTCATATTTAAGTGCTAAAAATACACTTAGAAGAAAAGATTTACTGTGTCAGTGCCTCAAATAAGAAATAATTTGCATAGTATAAAGTATTTTGTTCTATGCTAAAAGCCGCCAAGCTAAAATGTTTTTAATTTATACAAGGATAGGTGACATGTATGTCATATATTATTTTCCCTTTAAGCAAACTTATGATGAGACGAAATTATCTTCCATTAAAATTAAAGCCTTGTGAAATTAAGGGCTAAGTTGTTCCACAGACTGGGCAACAAGTGCTGAGTCATAAGGTCAGTGAGAGTCGGAACAGTCAGGGAAGGCTTCATGAAGAGAAGATTGCCTGCCAGGTCTGAATGGATAAGGCTAGATGAGCAGGAACTGAGAAGGCAGGAAGGGCAACACGGGTAAAACTGGTGCTGGTGCTGAAATCTGCCCGATTAACTCTGAGGATGAAGTACAGTGGCAGGGAGTTAAAAACATATGTCCATATAATAACCTGTAAATGAATGTTCACAGCAGCTGTTTTCATAATAGCCAAAAAGTGGAAACAACCTAAAGGTCCGTCGGCTGATGAATGAATGGAAAACTGGTGTAGCCATGAAATAGACTATTATTTGACAATAAGAAGAAATAAACTACTGATATGGGCTACAACATGGATAAAATTCTGAAAACATTATGCTAAGTGAAAGAGCCAGTCAGAAAGGACTTCATATTGTATGACTCTATTTATATAAAATATGCAGACCATGCAAATCTTTGGAGACAAAAGCAGATGGTGGTTGCCTGCAACTGGGGTAGGTGGAGAGACATGGAGAAGGATTGCAATCATGGCTAAGAGATGTGGGGTTGCTTTTCAGAGTAGTGAAAATGTTCTAGCATTGAATGTGGTGATGGTTACACAATGCTGTGAATATACTAACACACTGAGTTGTACATTTTAGATGGTTGAACTATCTGACATGTGAATTATCTCTCAGTGAAACTGTTTTTAAAATCCAATGGTAGGATCAAGATAATTTTCTCAACTCTCTATTTTGGATGTACATACTCTATCAGATCTGAATATTTCTATGCCATTGCAGTATATTTTAAATGAAAGGGAGATGAAGGCAATGCCTAACTTTTCAAGTAGTTTGTAAATTAACCTAAAGCATCTGCATTTCAAAGAACAGTATGATGGCTTTTCTGTACAAGTTAACCTAGAACCTATGAAATGAATAGGAACAGCTTCTGTGTCCATTCACAAAAGTGAAGAAATAAGAAAACTTTCTGGAACATTCCATTAAACATTCTCCTCTGATTTAATCTGGCGTGCCTCATCAGAGCAACACAAAAATTACTTAAAAATACTGTTTAACAGGAAAAAAGTCAATTTTCTGTGAGGAATGATGTATAATTCTCAACTTTCCCAAGAGAAAATATTATAAAAGGTATGCAATTATTTTTCAAAATGGCAGAATAAAAGCCAGAGTTTAAGAAATAAGTACGTTATAAAGGTAATAAAATGGTAATAATTAATTATAATGAAAATACAAAATCAATCTGTCCACTGAAATTAGTATCCTAAAACAGTTTATATTATTCAACCAGCTACAGATTAACCATAGACATGTTAAATTCCATACATACTTGACTTCCTACTTGAAATAATGTCTTCTTTGAAGCCCGTGTCTCATCCAAATTAAGATGACAATGTGATGTATCTTCCAGTGGAGACTCTGACATACGAAATTTTTAAGGTGACTGGCCAGTTGTTCTTGAAGTTGCCTTAGAGTCACCTGATAAAATATTTTTGTTACTAATTTTATAAATTGCCTTATTATTAAATTGTTAATATTTAACTCTAATATGCATACTTTGAAAATTATTACCACACAGATTCACTTTCTTTTCCTCATTTGTACACATTCTCCTTTATTACTGAATTCATGAGGAACACAGAGGTGTTATCTTCCTGCCAAATTGGTATTTTCTTACAAGACAGATTGATTCAGCCTGCTATTCATTCATCTCAGACCAACTCAACCTGAGTTCCTCACACATTCAGTTGCCTGTTCAAATCCTTCCAACAGATTTCTATCTCAGAATAAAAGTAAAATTCCAATGGCCTTCAAGGCCCTAGGTAACATGGCCTCTACTTCCCTCCCTGACCTCAGCTCCTACAACTCTGTCCCGTATTCACTTCATTCCCACTCTACGTGAACTCTGCCACCCCTCATTACTCTGAGAATGGGGATTCAATGTCAAACTCACAAATCACAGACAGCTACAAGTATCTTTGTACTGGACAAAGTTATATCCAAATGATAGTCATTGAGACTTAAAATGTAAATTATGAGCTAATTATTAATAAAAATATTCAAAGTAAATTATAAATACCTACCAGTGGGAACATTAAATCAAATATTTTTTGCTAAAATTTACCACATTTATTCCAAATTGTGATTTTATAACAAGTAGATGTCTTTCAAATATTAAGTGGTCAGAAAAATACATAATGTGAGACTGACATATTTTCAGACTTAAGTCACATTAATATGAGTCAAAATAAAGTTATACTAACTAAAATACATAAAAGAGCCACTGAAGGAAAAGCACCACAAGACACAGCAACATACTTCAGTTCATCTGGGAAATCTAGAATTAAGTGTCAAAGTGGCTCACTTAATTGAATCTTAATTTCAAAATATTTATTTCAGGTACAAGCATTTCCATTTATCTGCTTCATTGTGGTCTTAAAATGTGGCAACATAAAGACATTAAATTTGTTATTTCAGCAGTATAAGACTACATAGCTTATGAACATTACTTTGTAGCTACTACAATTTCATAGATGACAATGTCTTTACTCAAAGAAAGCATCTGTCAGCTCTACCTTTTATTTCCTGGAAACAAGGTATGTTTCCAAGCTGATACAGTAAACACATTTTTTTAGTTTTTTATTAAAACAGCTTTGTTAGAATATGATTTCCATACTACATATGTATCTGTTTTAACATACAGTTCAAAGATTTTTAGTAAATTTACTAGTCATGCAACTATCCCTACAATCCAGCTTTAGAACATTTTCATCACTCCAGGACAATCCCTCATGCCCATGAGCAGTCACGACCCATTTCCAGCCCCAGCCCTACACATTCATCTTCTTTCTGTCCCTATATATGTCTTTTCTGGATGTTTCATGAAACGGAATTCTACAGTATGATAAATACACTTTCATCTATTTATTTTTATATTGAATTAGATTCAACATACAGCCACAATGAAATGTTTAAATTTTCTTTCTGGAAGGTTAAAAATATTTATCTTTCTTCATACTTACTTCTCCTCTGCTTCTTCTTTTACATACTGAAAGTTTTTCTTTTATAGAATTATATTCATTCATTAATTTCTTATTTTTCTCTTCTAGAAGATCTTTCTTTCCACTCTCAAGATAGCCTCCTTGGATATTAATTACTATCTCTTTATCATTGCCTTCCTTATGAGCACCCTCTAGTTGTCGTTTAAGCAAGAGATTTTCACATTCTAGTTGACACAGTCTCTCCTCTACACAGTTGTGCTTTCCGGTGGATTGACTCGTTTAGCTTCCTCATTTGGATGCACCTGCTCCATTTCCTTTATTCGATGCTGTGCTTGCCTCTGGTGCATCTGCACACTTTCTAAAGCCAATGTCTTTTCCCTGAGAGCATCTCTTGTCTCATGGAGCTTACCTTTTAAGGTATTTAACTTCATCCCAGCTTTAGAAAATTGTTCAGTAAGCAACTCATTTTTATCTTTTAGTTGAGAAATAGTAGAACTCATTTTTTTATGCACAGAAAAATTATATGCTCTCTGTAAAACGAATTCTAGACTTTTTGTTTCTACACTTTCATTGTGCTCATTCATAGCAGCAGCCAGTCTAGAATGGAGGAATTCAACTTCAGCTTCCAGTCTGTCTGTGCGGTGTTTTTCCTTCTCCAATTTTGAATTCAGCCTTGTATTCACAGCTTTGAGGTTATTAAGCTGTTGCCAACACTGGGACCTTTTTTTTGTTATTTTCTCATTGAGTCTTGCACTCTTTTTAAAGTTAGCATTTATTTCTCTAATACTTTTAATTTCCTGAATATATTCCTTTTCCTTTTTGAGATTGTCATTTTTTATTACATATAATTCCTATCTGAGTGTGGCAATATCTCCCTTCAGCATGCAATTTGTATATATCACATCCTTCTTTTTTCCATAACTTTGAAAATCCTAAATAAAACAAAAGAAATTTTCAGCTAGCACTCAATAAAATAACATCATGGTTATCTCTGAAGTGAAAGCAAAACCTGTACATTCATGCAATTAAAAGTTGCTGTAAGTGGATATCCAACTGGAGAAAAAGTTGAAGCAAAACCTTGAACCTTACAGAGCATAAATTTCAAAAAGTTCAAAAATTTATTTGAAGTCAATGAATCCATAAAACTAAAAACACACACATACACACTGGAGAATTTTTAAGAATATCAGAATTGGAAAAGCCTTTCTCTGAATTACAACAAACTCAAAGCATAAAGTAAAATATTAACTAATTTGACTAAATTAAAATATTGGAAAAAGGAAATTGCATTTATACTCTGATACCTAACCCAGACACCACCCAATAGTAAAAGCTTTACCTCCACGTGTATTTGGACAGATAAAATTTCTCAAAGTTTTAAAAGTTCTGTTTCTGGCCGGGCGCGGTGGCTCAAGCCTGTAATCCCAGCACTTTGGGAGGCTGAGACGGGCGGATAACGAGGTCAGGAGATCGAGACCATCCTGGCTAACACGGTGAAACCCCGTCTCTACTAAAAAAATACAAAAAACTAGCCGGGCGAGGTGGTGGGCGCCTGTAGTCCCAGCTACTCGGGAGGCTAAGGCAGGAGAATGGCGTAAACCCGAAAGGCAGAGCTTGCAGTGAGCTAGGATCGCACCACTGTACTCCAGCCTGGGGGACAGAGCGAGACTCTGTCTCAAAAAAAAAAAAAAAAAAAAAGTTCTGTTTCCCTGATAATATTGTATTGTGATTTGACTCAACATTTTTTTAGTCAGTTATAAGAATTTCATTTACTAAATCATAAATCTAGACATTGTACTAAGCACTTCTACAAACATACATTGATGAACTTATTTAGTTATCACAATTCTTAAAAAGAGAGGTTAAAAATATAAGCAAGCTGCAGGATTTTCCCAGGGCTTCTGACTCTACTTCTAGTTCTCCACCAGATCACAGTTACTTCTGTGGTGTAAATATATCAACACAAAAACAGAGAAACAAAAAGACACAGGCATAAAATGTGTCTTCTGTCTTTGTCACCTGGATTCTCCATGAAATAGCCAGATCGAGAGGATGTGACCTTGTGGGGCTTCAGGAACAGTAAAGAAGTTTCCCTTTTCTGCACTAAGCTATTATTTTCCCCACTGCCTTTTATCCTTATTTTTTCATTTGGATCCTTGGATATAAAAAAAGTGAAGGTGCTCACTGAAACAGAGGAACCAAAGTTTACCACAACACAAGGAGCAGAGTGAAACTACTGAGTTGCTGCTGCAGAATCTTGGAAAATGAGATGTTCCCCAAGTTTACATTCAGTTACCACAAAAGTTTATAGCTGGAAGATTTACAGTATAGTTGTATACTCTAGCCCCATTATCTACTTGATAATGGAAGTAAAACCAAGAAATATTGAATAATTCACCCAAAGCTCCTACGGTGGCATTACCTAGCATTTCATGGCACCAAAAGGGAAGATACAATTAAATATTACTGAATTACATAAATTACCGGATAAATATATCAAATTAGTCAGATAAATTAAAAGTGTGACTTTGGCAAAGCAATTTAATGCCTCAGAGGGTGCAAAAATCCTCATGTGCTTTTACTTTGAAAGAAGAAAATCTCTAGATTTTTGTCTTATCTTTAGAATACAATGTACAGAACTCAGCTTTCTACTATAGAATCGAATGATAAATTTTTGGCTAAGGAGTTATGCTACTTTTATGATAAAATTATACACATCAAAACTTACCATATTTTATTAAACAACATAATATAAAAGTGTGATTCATTGGGAGGCTGAGGCGGGTGGATCACGAGGTCAGGAGATCGAGACCATCCTGGCTAACACGGTGAAACCCCGTCTCTACTAAAGATACGATAAACTAGCCGGGGGCGGAGGTGGTCGCCTGTGGTCCCAGCTACTGGGGAGGCTGAGGCAGGAGAATGGCGTCGGCCCGGGAGGCGGAGCTTGCAGTGAGCCGAGATCGCGCTACTGCACTCCAGCCTGGGCGACAGAGCGAGGCTCCGTCTCAAAAAAAAAAAAAAAAAAAGAAGAATCTAGAGCTTATTTCTTTAGCAATTTTCTTTATGTTTAGCTGATTCAGAAGGTTACATGGTATATGGCTAAATTATTTTCCCAGGCCATGTGCTACTTGGAAGACTGATAGTGAGACTTAGGTTGACTAATGAACAAATACTATGAGAATGTTTTCCAGAACTGTCATTTAGATAGCAGCACTAATCTACTTTGACACATAATTACACATTTAGATAACCCCACTGTAACTAAACACATGAGATTTTCTTGAGTAGAAAACCAGAATGAATCAGATAATTTATAAAAAGAGAAGTAGCAAGTGAACCTATTTCTTTTTATAGTTGAACTTTCTTTCTTCAAAGCCAGGAACTCTGCTTATAACATGCCCACCTCATTCTTAAGCCTTTGCATATCTTGCTGTAAGTCTTCTAGATATCCTTTTGATGTTCTGTCACTACGGAGTGGAGAATAACTCACATTTTCTCATTCGGGTTTCATGCTTTTATAGCTATTAGCAGTGGGACTGTCATACGTGGCTCCCTGAAACACACTTGCCAGTCATCTTCTAAGCTTTAGAAGAGCTTCTAAGTTCCATATGGCTTGTGGAACAAGTGCTGTATTGGATTTTTGCTTTTGTAAGTGTCTGTAACAGCAGAAATACTGTGGCTTTCTATCTGTATCACATGCCTCATTTCTTTGGAGTGAGAAAACCACAAATCAAAAAGACTTTTTGGATCTCTAGACTGAGGCCAATGTCTAATTTCCAATTAGTGGTATTTTGGTTTGTATTTTTTGTTATTTGCATATCAAACACCTGATCTTCTTTCATTTCAACCATAACTACTGGGTTCCTTAATTTTTCAATTTCTGTATCATTACAACAATTCTCTTCATCTCTGAGAAACAGGTTACATGTCTGGTTTGTTATAATTTTTACAGTCTGATTTATTTTCATTTGTGTAAAGCTTAGAAGATGACTGACAGGTGTGTTTTAGGGACCCAGAGTATAAATGCAATGAAAAGACATGTTTGTGATGGGCTCCTTCTGTTTAGGCAATGCCTGGAATACTACAGAGTTAGACACTCCAAGATGCATCTGCTTCCTTGCAGTCAGGAATATGATTCATCAGATTAGAGGGCACTCCCTTTAACTTAGTCCCTCTCCAGAGTTGCTATGTAAGAGCTCTTCCTCAGGACACACAGTAATTTTGGATTTTTCAAAACTTTCACCAATCTTCAGTTGAACTTCCTTGTAATGAATTTTAAAAGAAGTCTTGAATATACAGATAATACCCTCTTTATCACAATTGTTACTCAGTTCTGGTTCTTGAGACATTTTTTTTTTTTTTGCAGGTGCAAAAGTGGAAAATTAATTTGCTTGTTTTGTTTCTCAGATGTCTTTTCTGTTAGGGTGCATGTTTTAAAATTAACTTTATTCTGAATTAAGTATGAACAAAAAATAGAAAATAATTAAAATTTAACTGATACTTAATCTATGTGTCGCTACTCTTATATGATGGGATTGTAACTAAAATGTGAAAAATAATTTGCCTTGGCTTAACATAGGAGAAAAACATGAACCAGCAAGCTTAACTCTCACTGTTAGTTTGGACTAAACTTAATTCATTATGAAATCTTCCAGAAATGGGTTCACAGATGATATGTAGTATTCTAAAAGCTTTCTCTCTTAAAAAGATTTTGACCTCAGCATACCATAAATAGTGAACCCCTACAGTAAATTCATATTTCTGAAGATTAACCAGAGAGTAGGCAAATGCTAAATTATTAGAAACCAAAATGAACACCAATCAGAAAGAGAAGAAAATTTTTAGATTCTACTTCAAATGCTATACTGTAATATGTGTGTTATCTGGATAGATTATTTCTTATATTCAGTTCTAATATATTCTAAGTTCCACTAGTGACAGTGGAATAAAAGATTTTAATAACATTTACTATTTATGTTAAAATAAGAAAGTTATTGTTTGTACCCTGACACCAAAGTCCCATTCTGGAAGTCGTAATTCTCTTAACAGGCAGTTGGGTTGATTGTATGACCCCATCCTCTCCCTGAACATAGACACTGAAGGCAACCAGAGACCAAAAAAAAAAAACAGAAGAAGTTTTTAACCTCAGCACTGGTGACCGGCAACATAAAACTGCAAAGTTTGAACCACTGGGAATGATGCCACCTTTAACAGGAGTTGAACTCAGTGGCCATCACTATCCAATTGTTCATAATTTCTCTAGCTTAGTAATACAACTCCATTTTTGATGTTACTTTCTTTATTGTGAGGAAGGTTATAAAAATAAAAGAGCAAGGAGACTTCTGGAAATTTCTGGCCTCAAGTCCAAGGGTACAGATAGCTATGAGTTACTACAGACTGTAAGAATATTTTACATTTTATAACTGGCTAAAATGTTTTAAAATTAAATATGAAATTATGATCTGTTGGATTCTAAAAGGATAGTTTAAAAGGTCACTTCATTTGGACTATGCTATGTTATTAAAGAAAAACCAACTAACCAACCAATAGCAAACCAGGAATTTAAATTGCTACATACCTGTGGCTGTTTACTTTCACTTCTTTCAAGCATTTCTTGGTTTTCCTCTGAAGCCACTTTTAAGTCGTGTTCTGCTGACAAATCCATATGTTGAGTTAAGATGAATGACTTAGAACAGTTAAAGACTATAATCTTTATAAAAATGGATATAAAACAACATATACTTTTATTTCATAAATGGAGAGTTTAAATGAAGCTTAATGTTTACTGGAATATTTACATTTTTAAGAAATACTTCTAATTATCTAAAACTTCAACAAACCACTTGGGGAGACACTAGATATCAGCAGGTTCAAGCCATGCAAAAGTCTCAGGGTCACCCACAAATTATTCCACCCAACATAAATAAACAAAACTGCTGGAAACAAAGCAAAATTTAAAAATACAGTAAAAACATATAAAGTAATACTTTATTCTCTACTTCATAATAGTATCTTTTCAACAACATGCTAAGTGAGTTATTTACTAATAATTTGCAAAATTTTGTTACCATTATACCTTTATTAGTGTATATCCTGATTTTTACATTTGAAATGTTTTCCTCTACTATTCTGACAAATTTATTTCGTGTTTTAAGACTCTGAATATAGGCTGGGCACAGTAGCTCACACCTGTAATCCCAGCACTATGGAAGGCCTAGGAGGGAGACCTGCTCGAAGCCAGGAGTTTAAGAGCAGTCTGGAGACCACAGAGAAACCCGGACTCCACAGAAACTCTGCCAGGCGTGGTGGTGTGTGCCTGTAGTCCCAGCTACTGAAGAGGCTGAGGTGAGAGGATCCCTCAAGACCGGGAGTTTGAGTTTGCAGTGAGTCTCGATCATGCCATTGCACTCCACCCTGGGTGACAGAGTAAGAACTTGTTTCCAAAAACGGAAAAAGAAAAAAGAAAAAAAGGCTCAGAATGCTATGTGAAGTCCTCCTTGAATCCGGCTATCTGTTTGCACATATACAGATGTCTCCTTCCTTGGGGACCTCTTAGTACTTTGTCATTTTCTAGGGTCACTCCGCCATCTGAACTGTGCATCATGTCTTTCCACGTCTATCCCCCTTGCTGCTAGACTGAAGGAATCTTCTTCTTATAAACAGTCTTTATTTTACTAAATGTTTATGGAGTTCTTGCTAAGTGGTAAGCACTGGGGTTTAAAGAATGGGAATAAACGTCATCGGGGATGGCCTTTCTAGAGATCGTGCCTAAGCTGAGACTTAGACAGCGAGGTTCACCAGATTAAAGCAGGCAGAGGGCAGGAAAGGTAGCGCATGCCAGGCAGTGGCAAGAGAGGGAGAGAAGCCTCCCAGAGCGTATTTGTCTACATGAGAGATGGTGACAGGGGCATTACCAGCAGCTCAGTAATGCCAGAAAAAAGGGCAGAGAGAGAAGGGGCTGCAGATGGAGATTTGGGCAGAAGCCAGTTTCTGAAAGCCTTATATAAACCAACTATTATTGTCATTTCTTAAATTTTTTTAAAAAGCAAAACAAATTTAAAAAGCATAATTCCAAGAAAAAGACCTACATTTTATTTTATCTTATCTTATTTGACTTGATTTTTATCAAAGATGGGGTCTCACTCTGCCACCCAGGCTACAGTGTAATGTTGCTATCATAGCTAACTGCAGCCTCAAACTTCTAGGCTCAAGCAGTTCTCCTGCTTCAGCCTCTCAAGTAGCTGGGATTACAGGTGCAGAACACCACACCCAGCTACACTGAAAAAAAACAGACATGGGGTCTCGCTATGTTGCCCAGGCTGCTGGACCTTCTAGCCTCAAGGGATCTTTCTGTCTCAGCCTCCAACACTATTGGGATTACAGGCAGGAGCCACCATCCCCAGCAACACCAATATTTTCAAATGAATAAAGTGGAGCTCCATCATTTTATTTTATCATGGATGGGTGAAAACCTTGTAATAAGGCTTGTATACTCCGTGGATTTGTGACAAGGAAACTATAGCATTAACTGCGGCTGAAGCTTCCCTTGTCTCCCAGTCTCTTTACATGGTTAAGAGTAGAGTAGCTGAGACTACAGGTGCCCGCCACCTCGCCCGGCTAATTTTTTGTATTTTTAGTAGAGACGGGGTTTCACCGTGTTAGCCAGGATGGTCTCCATCTCCTGACCTCGTGATCTGCCCACCTCAGCCTCCCAAAGTGCTGGGATTACAGGTGTGAGCCATCGCACCCGGCCAGTGTCTTACCTTTTGCACCTTCTTCTTTTTACAAATTTGCAGGCTTCATAGCTGTTGTTTCTGTCAAACATGCAAGCTTGTTAGATATTCCTTCTGCAAAACATCATCCCTCTGCCTCCTTGCCTGGCAAAGTTTCACTCACTCTGCATGCTTCCCCTAAATCCTATCCATTTTTCAGAAGCTTGTGCTCATCACCACACATTTAAAGGTGGATGTCATCTCATGAACATAATAAATACCTAGTCAGTAATACCTATATGCTCCCAGGTGACATCTATCCTCCATTGATCCTCTACATAAGGGGTCAGCACACTACAGACCACAGGCCAAATCCTGCCTACCATATGTTTTATCTTAATAAAGTTTTAGGAGAGTACAGTCGGGCCTACTCACTGACATACTACCTATGACTGCTTTCACACTACAATGGCAGGGTTGAGTAGCTACAACAGAGACCACATGGCCTTCAGCTGCTTAAATCATTCTTGAAAAGACAGAGTAAGAGAGAGAGAGAGAGAGACAGACCACATGGGCTAAAATATTTCCTACTTGGCCCTTTACAGAAAAAGCCTGCCAATCCCTGCTTTATACCCTGAACAGAGTGCCCTAAATCTCAAATCTAATCTAATGCCTCCCCTACTCATGATTTTCCAGTGACTTTCTAGAGCAAACACTGCTGGCTCCCTATCCAGAAGCAGTTCCTTATTGTTGCTTGCTGGAGAAACACAAATCTATTTGGATATTTATTATCCCAATACCCCTCCCCAGCTTCAAAAGAGAAATGATTATTCTAAGCTAATCACATTTGCTTTCCCAGTGCCTGGTTTAGGAATGAGCATGTGGTATGACCCAGCCAATAAAATATTACAAAAAGGGCCGGGCATGGTGGCTCATGCCTGTAATCCCAGCACTTTGGGAGGCCAAGGTGGGCAGATCATGACTTCAAGAGATCAAGACCATCCTGGCCAACATGGTGAAACCCTGTTTCTATTAAGAATACAAAAATCAGGCCGGGCGCGGTGGCTCAAGCCTGTAATCCCAGCACTTTGGGAGGCCGAGACCGGTGCATCACGAGGTCAGGAGATCAAGACCATCCTGACTAACATGGTGAAACCCTGTCTCTACTAAAAAAAAATACAAAAAACTAGCCCGGCGAGGTGGCGGGCGCCTGTAGTCCCAGCTACTTGGGAGGCTGAGGCAGGAGAATGGCGGGAACCCGGGAGGCGGAGCTTGCAGTG